GCAAGGCGGCGACATCGCCACAGACCCCCGCACGGAATTAGTTATTCCTCTGCAGCCAACGCAAGCTGGGCCACAGACCCTCAGAAGAGCTCGTCCCACCTACCGCCAACAGACGTACCTCACCACGGACGTCCGATGGCGTCCCCCGCTCTGGCCGGGCACCGGAAACCCGGGTAACACCGCCCGCTCCTGCCGCAGCCAATGAAGAGCTAACGCTGGCGCGGAGCTTGCTGGGAAAGACGAGGCCAAGGTGGCTTTGGAGTCGTGAGCGGGAACGAACTACGAGTCCCTTCATGCATTGCGGCGGGGCACAATTCCCGAGATGCCTCCCTTTTTAGGGTCTCTACCCGCTGCAGGTCTGAAATTCTGCAGTACAGTCTAGAGATTCCCGTCAGTATCCTTTCGAGTGCAGAAGCTGTGATTGGCGCTTGGCTGTTTGTTTCATACGCTTCTCCATTGATCCCTGTGGACGTGTATGACTGTTTCTAGGACCTCTGAGGACTCGAAGAGGGATAGAAGGCTGAGCTGGGAATTAGGAGACCTTTGTTCCACTCCTAAACCAGTAATTTGTCATGTGCCTGGCATTCTATCCCCCCCCCCATTCCAACAGAGGGGTTTTGTTTTTGTTTTGTTTTTGGAGACAGGGTTTCTCTGTGTAGCTTTGGAGCCTATCCTGGCACATCCTGGAGACCAGGCTGGCTTCGAACTCTCCTGCCTCTGCCTCCCAAGTGCTGGGATTAAAGACGTGCGCCACCAAAGCCCGGCGTCACTGTCTTCTCTTATTCTTTTTTTTTTTTTTTAAGATTTTATTTATTTATTATGTATACAACATTCTGCTTCCATGTATATCTACACATGAGAAGAGGGCACCAGATCTCATAGCAGATGGTTGTGAGCCACCATGTGGGTGCTGGGAATTGAACTCAGCACCTTTGGAAGAGCTCTTAACCTCTGAGCTATCTCTCTAGCCCCTGTCTTCTCTTCTTGTATCTAATAGCTTGGCCCTCATAATTACTCGGAGAAAGTACAGGATACTTTGTGATCTAGGAAATATAGGACAGTATGGAAAAGGCGAGATGGCTTTTTTAATTGCTTGCTGTCTGTTGGAGACAATGTTTCCTTATGTGTAGCCTTGGCTGACCTGGAGCTCCCTATGAGGATCAAACTGGTCTTGAACTAAAGACAAAGGCGACCATGCCCAGCTAAAGGTTATATAATCTAAGGCTGCATCAATATTGAGTGGTAATAGCAGATTCAAAGCCAGAAGCCTGACACCAGCACCCATCTTAACCACTTTCTTCCCAGAAGAAATAATCGCCGTCACAGGCTTTCTCTGAGGCAGTGTACTGGACACCTCTGTCATCACCAGCTTGGCAGTAGCTCTCTCAGGAAGGGATTGTAGCAGAGGGAGTTTGGCTTCCGGCAACTTGGTGAACTCCCACTCCATCACCGCTGCTCCACTTTCTGCAAAGTCTCTTGTGCTTGCACACGGGCTAAAGTTTTAAAAAGTAGGATTTTCTTGTCTTTGCTTTTCTTTATGATTAGGAATGCTTAGGCACAGACCCTTCAGAAGCAAACACCATTGTGATTTCAATTCTTTTGTTGTGTGGGATTGTTTTGTTTGAGAAAGTCTTGTTTTATGCTGGCTTACCTGGAACTCTCTTTGTAGATCAGGCTGTCCTCAGACTCACAAAGATCTGCCTGTATTACACCCCTGAGTGCTGGGATTAAAGGCATGTCTTAACCACCTGGAGACAAATCATTTTAACACTCAGCTCACAGGTCACTTTGAAAACCTGCACTTTGCCCTAGTTCCCTAGGTCTGTGTTACAGCATTTGCCATGAAGTGTTGAGATTACTGTTGGCCAAATGCTGCGGTCTCAGAGGCAAGAGTCAGGCTGCGAGTAGAGCATGTTGAAAATTTGTGCTAATTGAACAATATTTTAGGGTCTTTAGATGTTGACCATTTTCTGTAATAGCTCTGTCACACTGAGTAGTGTTCGGTCTGTTCAGATGTAATGTAATAGGCTATATAATAGGCTCAGTGGAAGAGCAGTTTTCTAGATTACACCCGAAGAAACACATGGGAAGTCTCAGGAGGCAGCATATAGATCAGGTCTCTACAAATTTTCTTACAAAGAGGATACTCTAGAGCAGTGGTTCTCAATCTTCCTGATGCTGTGCCTCGTGTTGTGGTGACCCCAACCAGAACATTATTTTTGTTGCTAGTTCATAATTTTAATTTTGCTACTGTTGTGAATCATAATGTAAATTCCTGTGTTTTCTGATGGTCTTAGGTGATGTGACCCCATGTGAAAGGGTTATTTGACCCCCAAAGGTGTTGATACCCACAGGTTGAGAACTGTTATTCGAGATAGAGAGTAAGAGTTTTTTGTCTGGAGAGATGGCTCACAGGTTAAGAACATTGACTGCTCTTCCAGAGGTCAAGAGTTTAATTCTCAGCAAACACGTGGTGCTTCACAAAGATCTGTAATGAGATCTGGTGCCCCTTTTGGTGTGCAGGCATGCATTTAGGCAGAACACTGTATACATAGTAACTAAATCTTTAAAAGAAGTTTTTTGGTGTACTCTCTGAACCCCAGCACAGAGGTACATGGACCTCTGTGAGTTGAAGGTCAGCCTGGTCTACATAGTGAGACCCTGTCTCAAAACAACAGCAAGAAAATCTTAAAGGAGCTGAAAGGATGCCCAGTATGCTTGCTGATCTTGCAGAGGACCAAGATTAGATTCACAGAATCCACATGAAGGTTATCAAGGCTCTAGACTCTAATTCCAGAGCATCTATCACCCTCTGCTGGCCACCAGGCGTGCACACAATGAGCTTACATACATACACAGGAAAACACTCCTACAATAAAAGTAATTTTTTGAGAAGGGTCTTTGGGCTAAAGAGAGAGCTTAGCAGTTAAGAGTGATTGGTGTAGCTGCCAGGCGGTGGTGGCGCAAGCCTTTGATCCCAGCACTCAGGAGGCAGAGGCAGGCGGATCTCTGTGATTTCGAGGCCAGCCTGGTCTATAGATCAAGCTACACAGAGAAACCCTGTCTCAAAAAACAAAACAAAACAAAACAGAAAAAGTGTGCTTGGTATGCAACAATGAGGACTGGAGTTTGGATCTCAGTGTCCAAGCTAGAGGCCGTCCTGTGCCTGGCTGTAACTCTAGCTCCTTGAGGTTGTCCTGGGTGGTACAGAGAGCAGAGTACTGCTGGGGTTTTTTGGCTTCCAGCTAGCCCAGAAAACTGAAGCCCTAAGTTCAGGGAGAGACTTTGTTTCCAAGGAATAGATACAGAGCCATAGAGGAGGACGTTAAGCACTCTTTTGGCCTCCATGCAACCATACATATTCCTGTATACTCATATAGACAAATATACCTACACATAAGTAAATAAATGCATGGGGGTGGGGAGAATTGACTAAGTGGGCCACCATGGTTGCCACACACCTTTGGAAGAAGGATGGAAAATTCAAGGTCAGTCTGGACAACCCAGTGAGCTTAAGGCTGGCCAGGGCATTTTGAGATAGGGTTTCTCTATGTAGTTCTGCCTGTTCTGGAATTTGATTTGTAGACTAGGCTGGCCTCGAACTCACAGAGATCCTCCCTGCCTCTGCCTCTTGAGTGCTGGGATTAAAGGTGTGTGCCACTACCTCCCAGCTTAAAAAAATTGTTTTAATGTATTTATTAAATTCATGTACATTGGAGTTTTGCCATGGGCATTTGACCCCCTGGAACTAGAGAAGACAGTTGTGAGCTGCCATGTGGGGCCTGGGAATTAACCTAGGTCCTCCTGAAGAGCAGCCAGTGCTCTTAACCACTGAGCCATCACTCCAGCCCCCTTAAAATTTTTTTCAAAGACTTGCTTTATTCCAAAAATTTTTTTATTCCATGTAATAAGTGTTTTGCAGGCATGTAGGTATGGGTACCATGGATGTGCCTTGTGCTTTTCTAGGCCAGAAGTATGTTAATAAGCTACAAGTACATACCTGTGTGTTATACACAAACCTAGTGAGTAAGAAAAGGTACTCATGGGAAGGAAGATATAGCGGGAAAGGTCAACAGTGGCCTGGAGGGGCCATCTTGTAGGCAAGGAATACAAGAGTTTTGGTTTCTGCCCAGCACTTGGGAGGCAGAAGCAGGCAGATCTCTGTGAGTTTGAGACCACCCTGGTCTACAGAGCAAGTGCCAGGATAGGCTCCAAAGCTACACAGAGAAACTCTGTCTCAAAAAACAAAACAAAAATACATAACTGCAATTTTGCTACTGTTATGAATCATAATGTAAATACCTGATATGCAGAACATCTGATGTGTGACTCCTGGGTTGTTTGACCCCTCAAAGGGATCTTGAACTAGACCCAAAGGTTGAGAACCACTGCCTTAGAAGTAAAGTTATATGTGGTTGTGAGCCACCTGGTGGGAGCTGAACTCTAGATCCTCTAAGTGATCTTAGCCACTGAGCTGTCTCTCCAGCTCCTCCCTGTTCCTTTTATTTTATTTTGTTCCTTTAATTTTATGCATATGGGCATTTTGGCTGCATGTATATCTGGGCATTATGTGTGTCCCTGGGCCTGTGGAGGCTATGAGATCCCTTGGAAGTGGAGTTATAGGTAGCTCTGAGCTGTTTCATGTGGGTGCTGGGAGCCAAACTTAGATCCTCTGGAAGAGCAGTAAGTGCTCTTAAACACTGAGCCATACCCGGCACTTCCTTGTTATTTTTTATTGAAGGTGTGCAAAGCAGTGTCTCACTCTATTGAGCCAACCAAGGAGGAAATAGGTAACATTATTTGGTTTAGTCTTGTAGTCAGCTAAGAGTTGTTCTAGGTGGACTAGAATTGAAGTAAGAAGGGGTTAAAACTGCATTTGTTGCCAGTTTACCTTCTTGTTTTACTGGCTTTGGGTCAGAAGAGTAAATCCAGCATTTAATGCTGTTCGGTGTACCTTTGGTTTTGCTAGTTTTGAGTTAGTGTAAAGCCTGTGTCAATGATTCATTTTTTAACTTTGCAGTTAAGTCACTGTCTTCGAATCTTTAGCATGACCTGAAATTGAAAGACCCCTAAGGGCCTCAGGATCCCCAAGGAGCCCCTAAGACTCAGAAACCAGACCAAGAGCTGCAAAAGCAAGAGGGTTTATTGAACGAATTCTCATTCAGGCGTCAGCAATATCGGGAAAGCTGCACACCCCAGCAAGGGTTACAGGCTCCTTATATAGGAAATAACCGCAGATCAGCATACAGGCAAGGGGCACAAAGTGATTGATTACAAAGTATGATCTCATGTTAGAGTGGTCACCCAGGTGTGACCTGCTTTTCTGCACAGGAAACACAACAGAATGTACCCTGGAAAGTCCTTGATTGTATGTTGGCCAGCCAGGTGTGACCCAAACAGGGTCGTCTTGGCAATTGCCCCCGTCTAAACCATAGGATGTGCCCGGGGTTGGGGTCAACTTCCTTGTAATGGGTTAAGGCCCGTGGGAAACTTTTCTCTCTGTGAACTAAAATCTTTGAAAATGAATTACAAGCCTGGAGATTTCCACTGTGTTTGTAACCTACTTCCTTTTGTTTTTATATCTCTGTGTTAGGGATTGAAACCAAGGCACAAGCTTCCTGGGCAATGACACTGCCCTTGAACTACATATTCACCTTTTCTTTCTTTCCATTTTGAGGTGGGTCTTGGTATGTTCTCATTCTAGCCCAGTTTGCCTTTGGAATTCCCCTCCCCCCCCTTTTTTTCTATTTAATTTGTGCATGTGATGTAGATACGTAGGTGTTCGAGTGCCACAGTACTTGTGTCAAAGTCAGAGCTCTGGGGCTTGCCCGTACCTCCTGAACCGTTTTTGCTGGTCCTGGCATTGACTTCTCCCGCCTTAGTCTCCCAAGGTCAGATTGAGGCCTGGGCCATAAGTTAAATGTGCCAGGTGGTGGTGGTGCACACCTTTAGTCCCAGCACTCGGGAGGCAGAGGAAGGAGGATCTCTGTGAGTTCGAGGCCAGCCTGGTCTACTGATCGAGTTCCAGGACACCTTCCAAAGCTACAGAGGAACCCTGTCTTGAAAAACAAACTAACAAAAAATATCAATCTTAAAAAAATAACATTAAAAAAGGGGGCTGGTAGCCGGGCGTTGGTGGCGCACACCTTTAATCCCAGCACTCAGGAGGCAGAGGCAGGCGGATCTCTGTGAGTTCGAGGCCAGCCTGGTCTACAGAGCGAGTTCCAGGACAGCCTCCCAAGCCACAGAGGAACCCTGTCTTGAAAAACAAAAACAAACAAACAAACAAAACAAACAAACAAACAACAACAAAAGGGGGCTGAAGAGATGTTCAGGGGTTAAGAGCACTGCCTGTTCTTCCAGAGGTCCTGAGTTCAATTCCTTCAATTCCCAGCCATCTGTAATGGCTCCCAACCATCTGTAATGTAGTCTTGTGCCCTCTTCTGGCCTGCAGGGACACATGCAGGCAGAGCACTGTATACACAAATAAATAAAATCTTAAAAAAAAAGTTAAATGCCTGTATGCCAGGGTATTACCAACAGTTGATCGATCATGTCATTTGTCTCTAGGGTAGTTTACATATTGATATTCCTGTCTCAAATGATACCTGGCAAGCAGATGGCATCCTGCCTAGTCTCCCCTTATCCCTGGGACTCTACCTGGGGAAATAGTTCCATTGGTAACATACCTGCCATACTGGTATGAAGAACCGAGCTCTGGCTGTAATACCCATGTAGACAGCTGGTGGGGTCCGGGTGAGACTGTAATTTCAACACCAGGAAAACACAGTAGGGTTTCTATCCCTAAAGGGCTGTGGCCTTGGCCTCCAAATGCATGTGAGCACACATAATCTGGTGTTCTATTGCCCAGCTGAGGCAACAAGCACTCACCCTCCTCCAGCACCCTGATGTAACTGTCATTCCCACTGTTAAAGTACAAACTTATCTTTCTCTTGTTTTTTACACAGGGTTTCCCTGTGTAGCCCTGGCTAGCATGGTACTGAGATCTGTTTGCCTCTGCCTCCTGGGTGCTGGGATTAAAGGTGCATACCACCATGCCTAGTCATTTTTTTTTTTTTTTTTTTTTTGAGGTAGGGACTCATGTAGCCTAAGCTGGCCTTGAACTCACTAGCCAGCCAATATTCTTGAGCTACTGACCTTCCTGGCTCTGACCTCCCTCACCAAGTGCTAGTAGGCATGTGCTACCATTCTGGCCGAAGCTTAATCTCACAGAGTCAAATCTCATAGTTTTCGAGAGCAGCACTGACACTGGCTTCAAAATTATGAGTAGATTATTTTTTCATTTTGTGACTGGGGGTTTCTCTCAATGGGAGTGATGGATCTCAAAGACACACAGCAAGTTGAGGTAAGAATGTCTGTTGGTGGCTGGGTGTGAGCCAGTGCTTTGAGTTCCTTGAGCTTTGGCAATTATTAAGGAGAAACTTAAAACATACTACATATAAATTAACTACAGGTACATGACTTCCTCCTCTAACAGCCTAATACAACTGTCACTGTTAACTAATGCCTTTACCTGCTGAGACATCTTGATGACCCCCTTTGTTTTTGAGACAGGGTTTCATATAGTCAGGCTGACCTTCAATTTCTGGTCCTCCTGCCTCTTCAAGCCAGTGTCTTGCTTGCATGGTGCTGACGGTTGGACCCAGGGCCTCATGTATTCTGGGCAGGTACTCTACCATGGACATCCCAGGATTTCATGCATGCTAGGCAGGTACTCTATCATGAACATCCCAGGGCTTATGTCTACTTCTCAGTCCAGGGTCATTCCAAACCAAAGAAGACAATTTAGAACTTTGCAACAGGTTTTTATTTTTGCTTTGTATCTATTACAGTGTTTGAAACCTAAAGAAATACATTTTCTCTTCAAATTTGGATGTGTATATAAATATCATTTGTCTGGACTCAGCACACTCAATGCCATGGTTTCTTGGCCTATTTCTGCTCTGAAATCAAGCTTTGTTTGTCTACCCAGGGGCCCTGAGAACATGAAAAAATAGAGCTTACAGTTCTTAGAAAAATAAAAGCAAATGAATTTGGAAAGCAAAACCTGTGAGGATTAAATTCAGCTTTCTAGGGTTCTTACCTGGAAACCCAAGCTATCTTTGGGCGATGTTCTGTCTGCTGGGTAGCTGAGACCTCATACCCACATCATTTATTTAATAGGTCAAAAAAGGCATTTCCCAAAAAAGCTGGCTAAAAAAGCCAATACCCACCTCCAGCTTCTGAGGGTTCATGGTGTGAATCTTTGACATAGTTTGCAGGCAGTCTCAGGAGCCGAGCTGAGACTCCCTTTCCAGCTCCCTGCACATGGTGTATCACTTTCTCTAAACCTAAACATTAAAACCAGACCCCCAGGAGTGCAGGGCTAGTGTGAGCATCAGAAGTGTGAGCATCAGAAATCAGGCTGGCCTAGGAACAGGTAGGTAAGCCCAAGCCCTTGGAGACACATCACACAAGCTATTCCCCTCTGGTGTTCAGGTTTCCCAAGTTATGGCTGCTTTCCTCACAGCCAGCTTTGGTCCTGTGTGCAGTTCAGGCTTCAAACAAGATGCTCTCTCAAAAAGAAAATAAATTTTCATTCAGATTCAGTTGGAGTTGACCTCAAATTCTTCCACTGCCATGCATGTCTGATTCTGGGGTGGGACTAGGGAATAGACGGACGTGGCAATGGAACCAGTTAGGAAGGCCTTTGGCCACAGAGCAGCTAGTGTCCAATACATGGATCGCTAGAGGGGCAAATTCTCAGTTCATTGCCTTAACAAAAGAATACAAAAGGTAAAACAGAAAAAAATACTGGATGAGGTTGGTCTAGAATGCGCCAGAAGTCTGTCTCTTATGGATATGCAGGGAAGTGCCACCTTAAACTGCTGCTATTGCTCAGAATCTCCTACGGTTCAGTGCAATGAGCCTTGCACCCTTCCCCAGCCTGCTAGGGAAGCTTGTCATCATCATCCTGTCCCCTCTGGGGTCTACAGGGACCTGGAGAAGCTTTGTGCCTTCAAGAAGTTAGAGCCTGAAGAATACCCAAGAGGATGGATACCGAGGGGAGAAGGGATGAAGTCTGCACGAGAGCAGAAGCCCTCAGAGGAGGCCATGTGGAGTGCAGAAAGAGTGTGAACTGCTGGGTTTCCAGGCAGACAGGAGCAGAACCACAGTTCCTCCACGCAGGAAGTTTGTCTTTCTACTGGATTCATTTCAGAGAAGCAGAACCTTCTTTTCATCTTCCTTAGCTAAATACAAAAGCAGCTATAATCTGTGGTTAGCTTCAGCACACCTGGGAGATGACTACTTCCAGACAGAAGGGAGCAGCAGTAGATACAAGGTCCCAGGTAAAGGGAAACACCAAAGCTCTTTAAAAAAAAGGTCAACACCTACTTCCTGGAAGTGTGTGACCACCGACCCAAATAACAATGGTGACAAATAGGATGGAACTCTGTATGGTTATACTAAAAGGCTACAGCCAACATCAAGGCTTGTAGTCACTGGGGAGAGCTGGAGACTGAAGACAGTGTCTAGAACGGACCACTCTGTCAGTCACTAAAGAGGATTTCAGTGTGCAGTGGCTAGAGCAGCTAGGTAACCAACCTCTTCCATCTGGTACTGGATGCAGGTCTGAAGCCAAAGAGATACTGGAGAAAGGATGGGGGGCAGGACATTATATCACATACTGAGAGTATGGCTCCAATGCCAGGGGTTTATTAACTGTTGCTTGAGATGTGCAGAGTAGCTCCCACTACAGTGTTCTGCTCTTTAGACAGGGGTGGTGATAATGGTCCTGGAGGGCTTTTCTTTGAACTAGGAGCAGAGTTTGTAGTAAAGCTGCAGACCAGGTTTAAAAGAAAAAAAAAAAAAAGGCCCTGCCCATTGCTTTCCCAGAAGGTCAGAGGGTGAATAAGTAGTATTTGATCCGCCAATGTTAGTCAAAGCTTTCAGTATCAACCACCAGCCCCGAACTACTTTTCTTAGGAGCAGGGCCTCCAAACTAAGACATGGCAAACAGAAGGCCAATCAATGGCCAACAGCAAGACCTGATCTTTAGATCTGCAAGTGTGGGAGATCTGTTGGAACAGGAGTAAGAAGCTGTTTCTGGAGAAAGAAAAGTGTGGATGACAACAGGACACCTCTGCTTCAACACAGTGAGGTACTGGGCTGCTAGCTCCACAGCTGATTTATACCTAACTGACAATGCCCACCACTCCCCCACCCCCACCCCCAGAGCTCAGTTTTAGATAATGTGTAACCCACTAAAACACAGGCCAGCCTCTGAGGCATTGAGCTAGCTTTACTCAGAGAAAGAAAAGGTGTCTGTGTAACTGTCACAAGAAAGGTACAACGACCCTTGGAAGGGATATGCCAACAGCTCTTATCAAAGTATCCAGGTCGCCAAGGTTCTCTGATAACGGCAGAGGCAGCCGTGTCATGACTTATGTGGGTAACGGGGACTGGTAACTGAGTTAGAGAAGGCAGGATGCTTTCTGCTCAGGAGCAAGGACCAGAGCAGCAGACTTCACCAGGCCCCCAGGCACTCTTTGCTCCTTTCAGGAAAGGGAAAATCAGCCCAGGCTGATTTACTTCATAAAGGCTCCAGAGGTGAGAGTTGGTCCCAAGTGATGACCCAGAATCCAAGCAGAGAAGAAAAGGACCAAGTCTAGCTCTTTGAACAGGAAGCTTCTATATCCCTTTTTGGTCTTCCTCACAGTATCCCACTCACAGACGGTTTATCCTCTTAAGACCAATTAAGACTGACCTACTTAAAATATAGAATATAAAAAAAATACAGAACTTTTTGACATTCTCTCCTTTGGAAGTAAAATATACATGATCCAACTATGGCAGAAGGAAGAAGAAAGGCCAAAGGCAGGGATTCCTGACTATCCCAATACACGACCCTAACTCCAACCTCCTCTGCAACTTATGGGTCATCAGAGCAAGGACTTTCTCCTCAGGAGAAGGAAGGACCACAGCCCCCCATCTCAAGCTCAGGAGAAAACACAGCCACCTCAGAGGTTCATTCAACTCTGAGGTGAATTTTCAAGTAAACAAATAAAATTGGGTCGCACCATGTAGGAGGTGGGTAGGATACAGGGTCAGTAGCTACACAGGGAAGGCCCTGTCTGAAGGCCTGTGCTCCTCCTGTCCACTCCCACTGTACATTTGTTCCAGGAGAGTGAGCGGGGAGGACCTCTGTCTCATGGGGCCTCCTTATTAGCCTCTCTTTCCAGACAATGCTGGCAGCTGGGCTCCTAAAACCAGCTTTTGGGAAGAGCAACCTTAATACAAGAAAAATGTGCAAAAGAAAAAATTAAATAACCAATCCAAGCATACAAGATCAATATTCGGTCAGAGCAAGAACACTTTGTTTTGGACTTCTCCCCTCCCCCCCACCTCCCACCTCTGGAATATTCCATCTGCTCAAGTACCCAAGATAAGAGTTACACACATCAGGGCAGAGGACTGGGATGGATGAAGCAAGAATAATGGGAAGGAAGTCACCACTAAAGAAAATAAAAGAAAAAAAAAATTTTAAAGGTGCAAATTGATTACCTCAGTCCTCCTTTGTCTACCCCTGGGCTCCTGGGTTAAAGACATGTGTGCAGCCAAAATAAAGTGTAAGGAAGAAAAACCCACACGTCCCCTTCTTGTCACAAAACCCATGTGAGCCTCAGATGGTTCTGTCTGTCCAGAGGGTGCTCCCTCCAGGGAAGGGGATGAGCAGGTCAAGAGCACAGTCTCAGGGCAGCAGGTGTGTGGTGGCTGCTGGTGGGGTGGCTGTTTCCCTGCCCACCAGTGGGCTGCTCTTCTGCTGGCTGGTGGTGCTTCCCATGCCCTCCCCTCCCCGGAGGCAGACATTATAGCTGGAAGCCCTCCATGGGGGCCTCAGGCTGTTGGAAGATGAACTGCTGTTGTGTTTCATCCACCTGAGGAGCCAGGCTGCTGTCGTCATCTTCTACACCAAAGTAGTGCTCAATGAGGTCAAAGGCCTTCTGGTAGATTTCCTGGTTCTCGTGACTCTGAAGAAACTCAATTTTATCCAAGCCTATGGTGGCAAGAAGAAACACATGTCCTTTTCCTTTCCCAAGGAACAAATTTCCAAATAAAAATCGTAAGATCATATCATTCCTTGACCTGAAAAAGGGGTCAAGGTCTCTTCCCCAAATTATAGAATTGCAAAAGAAATCAAAATGTCAGCTAAGTAGAGGTTCTAGAGAGCTAGAATAGCAGCTCAGTTGTGAAGTGCTTGCTCTTGTACCCCAGAACCACCAGGAAAGGTGGCGGCACTTACAACCCTAGAAAGGGTGGGGAGGACAGTGTTGGGACAAACTGCCTGGGGTTTCTGGTTGGCTTGTTAGCAGGGCTTCCTTAGTGAGCCCTAGATCTGAGGGAGCAGTAGTACCTCAAAAACAAAAACAACAACAAAACCAAGGTATCTAGCTCTTGAGGGTTAACCTCTGGACTACACACACATGCATGCATGTAAGGATGAGCACATGAGAGGTTGGAATCTGAATTCTGTTTTAAGCTAACTCTAGGTAAAACATGATTTGTCTCTTCTGAGATGGGTTTCTCTGTGTAGCCTTGACTGTCCTGGAACTTGCTCTATAGACCATGCTGGCCTCGAACTCAGAGATCTACCTGTCTCTGTCTCATAAACGCTGGGAGTAAAGGTGAGCGCCATCACTGTCTGACTGCAATCCAGTATTTTTACAGGAGACAGTGCTGTCTTTTAGTTCCCGGTAATAGTATCAAATTTTGGGCTGTTCCTCCATGTGTCTGTACCATATCTCCTTTTGAGATAGATAGAGCCTGCAAGAATAACACTGACCTATTGCTCCTTAGAGGGAGAAAGAACTGGTGGACAAGAGAACTTGGATACTAATTAGTTGCAGCTACCTGTCTAGTCAGTACATGTCAGTTACTCCCAAGGAAAGGTCTATAACCCCATACTTGGTATATAGCTTGGCTGGAATAGGAACTCATCACTGGTTTAGAAGCTGGTGAGATGACTCAATGGGTAAAGGTGTTTGCTGCCAAACCTGGCAATCCTTACAAACCACATGGTGGAAAGTGAGAACTGACTCCTGCAAGGTCGTCCTCTAACCCCCATACCCACGTGCGTTATATCATGTGTGCTCACACTAAAACATGTACACATACACAAATAAGTGGATAAACAAATGTAGTGAAAAATAAAAAAAATAAACACAGACTCAGTTTCATAAAATGTGTGGATGTGTTCCAACATCTTCCCCACTTCAGACATGTGAGGTGAGGGAAGAACTCACCATAGGCTTCCTCAATGAGGCCACAGTAGGGATTGACCCCTGAGCCACTACGCTTGCCCTCTTGCTCTCCAAGCCGCAGGATGTTCTCTAGTCCATTGAGGGCCACTTGCACAATCTTTGAATCCATTACAGTCAGCAAGTCACACAGGGGTTTGATGCAGCCCAGTGACACCAGGTACCTGGGAACCAGAGACGAAGTAAGATCCAAATTAATGAAGATCTAGTAAAGTCCTAGGCAGGTGCTTTGCCCTGTGGGTCTCCCTCATACAAACCAAGACTTGCAACAATGCACTCTTCCTGAGTCTTGATAATCACCCATCCTTCACTTCAATCTCTCTACCCTCACTCTGCCACTGATCTAATTCTGTAATGAACACACCAGAGTCCTAATATGACCTCAGCCACAATATTATCACTTTAGAGGCATTAAGAAATTCTTCAGGTTTCTTATTTCTGAGTACAAACTCTATTTATGTTAAGACAGCCTGTCTACAATCTGGATCCTACCTCTTTAGCTCTACTCAAAATATTCCTTTCCGGGGCTGGAGAGATGGCTCAGCGGTTAAGAGCACTGACTGCTCTTCCAGAGGTCCTGAGTTCAATTCCCAGCAACCACATGGTGGCTTACAACCACCTTGAATGAGATCTGATGCCCTCTGTTGGCATGCAGGCACAAGACTGTATACATAATAAATAATAAAATCTAATAAATAAATAAATTAATTAAAAAATATTCCTTTCCGGGGCTAGACAGATAGATCAGAAGTTAGGAGTACTGGCTGCTCTTCCAGAGTTCTTGAGTTCTATTCCCAGCACCCACATGGTTGCTCACAGCCATCTATAATGAGATCTGATGCCCTCTTCTGGTGTGTAGGAATACATGCAGGCAGAACACTGTATAAATAATCTTTTTTTTTTTTTTTTTTTTGGTTTTTCGAGACAGGGTTTCTCTGTGTAGCTTTTGGAGCCTATCCTGGCACTCGCTCTGGAGACCAGGCTGGCCTGGAAACTCACAGAGATCCTCCTGCCTCTGCCTCCCAAGTGCTGGGACTAAAGGCGTGCGCCACCAATGCCCGGCTCCCTGAGCCCTTTTTAAATCTGGTTTCTCTATGTAGTCCTGGCTAGCCTGGGATTTACTATGTAGATCATGATGGCCTCAAATTCACAGAGATCTGCCTGTCTCTGCCTCCAGAGATCCTAGCTTTAAGTTGTACACCAACATGTCCAGCTTATATTTTCCTTTTAATATTTAACTTAATGGCATTTCCTTTCTCCTGAGACTTTATATGTAAAGACTGTATTTCCTTCAGTAGGTTATAATTACAGGGAAAACACTTAATCCATTCCCACCATTCCTCATATAGTTTAGATGATGTAAATGAGAACAAAGGAGAATATGTACAAACTGGATATGGAGACATGTACTATAATCCCAGCACCTGAGAGGATAAAGCAAAAGGACCACAAGAAGCTCAAGGAGAGCTTGGGATACAGACAGCCCTCATCTAAGGCAAAACAAACAAACAAAACAACAAGCCATAGCTGGGTACAGAGATGCGTAGGTGTGTGCGTGCGTGTAATCCCAGCACTTGGAAGGGAGAGGTAGGAGAGGTCAGTCTGTCTCAAGACTGTCTCTCCAGGAAAACAACCACTATCAACAACAGAGTCTATTCCAGAGTCCAGTCTCATTTAGCAGTTTACCAGTTAACCTTATTACAGTTAGATCAGGGCAGACTGTGGACCAAGAACCATTTAGAGTTCTCTGAAAACCATGAACAAAGGAGACCGCACATATCACTTCAGATGTTGGGAAAGGAATCATACCTGATCTGCTCAGGGGTTCCTCCTGATGTGGCATTGGTGATGGCCCAGGCTGCTTCTTTCCTTGTACGGAACTCTGCTTTCTGAAGGATTTCAATCAACACAGGGAAGATATTGGCATCTATGACAGCCTGAAAGAGAAATGAGGGAGGAGGATGGAGGAAGAAAGACACTTTAAGGAAAAGAAGCGGAAGGGTCAGGGGTGGTAACAGGCCCCTGTAATCCCAATGCTTGCAAGGAGGAGGCAGGAAGTCAGGAATTCAAAGTCATTTGAGGCTAGCTTGGGCTCCACTGGAAACTTGGGAGGGTAAGATAGAATAGGCCTCAGAGGAAAAGATGAAGAAAAGGAAAACCTAGTACAAAAAAAAATCACAATTTTGACTTCTCCCCATAACCCACCAGAAAGTTCTCCTTTGCTCTTACGAGAGATTTGACAAGGTATGGGGAACTTAGCTTCTACTACGTAGAGCCTTTGACCAACTGGTCGGTCATGCTGAGCCCAGTTATCCTGGTGGTGTTAGGCACTGAATCCGGGCCTTTCACACATTAGGCAAACATTCTACTACTGAGCTATACTGCTCATTCTATGCCTTGGCTCCAATTTCTAATGGGAAAGAAATGCTTTTTTGGAAAGCAAATCTACCTGTATTTGAGCCCTATTGCCAGCAGTGATGTTTGAAATGGTCCAGCAAGCTTCTTTCCGGATTGATTCCTTAGAGCTGCTCAGTAGGTGGAGGAGACAAGGGAGGGCTGAACAGTTAAGAATGACCTGGACAAAAGCACAAGAAATACAACAAAATTAGATATTTAGAGTAATTCAAATTAAAAATGGATATGCATCAAGATACCACAGGGCAAAACAAACCCACAGTATAGGAGAAGACACTGGCAAAACATATACTGGTAAGCATTAATATCCAGAGTATATAAAGAACTCCTAATATCACAAAACACCCTAAGCAACCAGTAAAAATGAGCAAAGGGCTTGAAAAGACATTTCTTAAAAAAAAAAAAAAAAGACATACAGATTGTCAATTAGCACATAAAATAGGCTCAACAGTACCAAACAATAGAGAAACAAAAATCAAACCATGAGATAGCACTTTACACTTACTAGGATGGTGTTATAAAAAATATCAGAAAATAAGATATTCTTCAAAGAGAGACATAAAATGACACAGCAGCTAAACTAGTAAAAATTAGCAAAAATTACCATGTTATCTGATCTCTTTTGCATATTCACGACCAAAAGAAATGAGAGCAAAGACTTAGCAGCTATATATCAGGGTATCATCATGCACAATAGCTAATAAGTAAAAACAACATAACTACATTCAAGATGGTCGGGCGCCGGTGTCGCATGCCTTTAATCCCAGCACTCAGGAGACAGAGGCAGGTGAGTATGTTATAGGCCCCTCCTCCCTGTGATCTCTGTGAATGAGTCTAGCCTGGTCTACAGAGTAAGTTCCAGAACAGGTTCCAAAGCTACACAGAGAAACCTTGTCTCAGAAAAACAAAAACAAAACAAAACAGAAACCCAATGTGCTCAAGATGGATGAAGGGGATTTTAAAAATACAGTATATACCAACTTATCATTCAGCCCTAATAGGGGAATTCTGACACATGCTACAACATAGATGTAGAAATTATGCTAAGCCAATGTAAGGCACACATATTGTGTGACTCCACTTATAATGAAGTGTCTATAGGAATCCAATGGAATAAAACTGTACAACAACAGCAACAAAAACTAGAGCACACACTAACTCATGGCATCAAGAAATCACAAAGGAACCCAGCAGAATTCTACCTTTTGAACAGGGAAACTCACTATGCCCTCAGTGTAGGGATCATTCCTTTTTCATTTTACATTCACATGCTCATTTGTGTGCACGGTGCACACTAGTTTACTATTCTGAAACAGGACGTTATTGTATTGCTCAGGCTCAGGCTGGTCTCAAAACCCCTGAGCTCATGTGATCCTTCCCACTTCAGCCTCCCCATTAGATGCACCACCCTGCGGCTTGTTGGTAGGAATTATTTTCCATATTTTTTCTTTTTTGAAATAGGGTTTCATGCAGTTGAGGATGGCCTTGAACTAGCTGACCCTTCTGCCTCTAAACTCTAAGTGCTAGAATTACAAGTGTTTGCCACACATGACTTAAAAGTTACTGTGAGGTTAACACAAAGTGATGTCTATGGGGTTCTAAAGGCTAGAAAGTATTGGTGAGCTTTCTAGTATCTCAAAAGGGTCACAGATCAGACGAAACTCCTTATAATGCCTGAGTAAATCCAGTCATTCTTCCATTTAGCTTTCTTTTCCAAAGTACCAGCTGGACTGTTTCTAATTTAAGAGAAGAAACTCTGATCATATAGAGAGTGACAGTGCTAAAACTACATTTTTGTTTTTTTGTTTTTTGTTTCAAACAGGGTTTCTGTGGCTTTGGAGGCTGTCCTGCAACTAGCTCTTGTAGACCAGGCTGGTCTCAAACTAAGAGAGATGCCTCCTGAGTGCCGGGACTAAAGGCATGCACCACCACCGCCCAGCTCTAAAACTACATCTTTTTTTTTTTTTTTTTTTTAAAGATTTTATTTATTATGTATACAACATTCTGCTTCCATGTATATCTGCACACCAGAAGAGGGCACCAGATCTCATAATGAATGGTTGTGAGCCACCATGTGGTTGCTGGGAATTGAACTCAGGACCTCTGGAAGAGCAGCCGGGGCTCTTAACCTCTGAGCCATCTCTCCAGCCCTAAAACTACATTTTTTTAAAAGCCATTTTTCTGCTAGACAATGCAGCCTCCCATTACAGAGGACGACTTTTGTTTATAGATAACGCTTACTTGTTTTCCCACAGCTGGCCTGAGTTATAAGATCCTATCCCACCCTCTTCTGTCTTACCTGGGTCTGGATGTCATCCCCAGTGACAATGTTACCCACAGCTCTCAAGGCAGGAGATGCCACTTTGTAATCGTTGTGCCTAAAGAGGAAGAACAGCTCATCATTAGTGAAGCAACACATTATATTCAGCCCTGCTGAAAACCAAGGCTGGCAGGCAGCATTATAATCTGCGGTTCATAGCTTTCTTATTGTGGTTTTTTTTTTTTTTTTCTTTCTTTTGGTTTTTGAGACAGGGTTTCTCCGTGGCTTTGGAGACTGTCCTGGAACTAGCTCTTGTAGACCAGGCTGGTCTCGAACTCACAGAGATACGCCTGCCTCTGCCTCCCAAGTGCTGGGATTAAAGGCGTGCGCAATCACCGCCCGGCTTCTTATTGTGTTTTATAAGATGGTCTCACTCTGCAGCCTAAGCTGTCTCCAAATGTTGGGATTACAGGCATGCACCACCATGCCCAGCTTAGGATGGCGCTCTTTGAACTTGGTGAAGCTAAGGAAACTTTTACCCTCTTAAACTGAAGCAACTCACATCAGAAGTTCTACCAATCTCCGGCAGACTCCAGAGTCTATGACTGCCTGGATCTTCTCATTGGGGCCATCAGACAGGTAAGAGAGGGCCCAGCAAGCATCTGCCAGCAAGTCTGAGTCACTACTGAAGAGCAGGCGAGACAACACAGGCAAACAAGGAGAGACCTGTTGAAAGCAAAGTGAGGAGGACTGACATAGGGCTACACCAGCGCTATCACCCTATCACTGCCACCCATCCCCAGCATGTCATTCTAGAGCCTGGGAATGTCATCAAACCTGCAGGCCCACCTTTCACTTTCCTACCAAGGTACACAAGATCGCCTACTACACCGACAAGTGCCTTTTAGTTTCACAGGATTTGAGACTCTCAGGGGTCTTCCCAAAACTTAAAAGACTTACTACAATGGAATCTGGTATCACTTATGGCTACTAAGTAGCTCTCACCTTTGCAAATTCTGGAGGCGGGTTCTTTCCTCGGCAGAGGTTTGACAGGGCCCAGACTGCATTCCTTGTCATTGTGAGTCGTGTGGACTTAGTGAGGAGTCTGGAGGAAACAACAGAGCCAGAGTCTGAGCACTGATGTTCTAACACAGGGCTGTTACCAATACACCCTAGAGGCAAACCCAGACACCTAAGAATCTTCTGGCCTGAAACTAGCTCTGTAAACCAGGCTGTACCAGAACTCAGAGATCTGCCTGCTTCTACTTCTTTTGTGTTGGGATTAAAGGCACGTGCCACCACTGCCTGGTCCAGGGCCTTACTATCTTAAGGAATCAAGCAAGCTGCCTCCAAAATGTACTGCCACTTAGCTACCCTACAGATACCCCAAGCCCAAATGATCATAAATACTCACGTTAACAAAGGATTAAGGATCGAGCAATTCAGGACGTAATCTCTGCAAACCGAACTGTCTCCAGCTATGTTTCCCAGAGCCCAGACTGCCTGAAAAGGGAGGATGGAACTGTCACTCACAGAGTTTGGTTTGATTGTAGCTTCTGTGACTACTAGTTGTTTTTGTTGTTGTTGAGACAGGATTTCTCTGTGTAACCCTGGCTGTCCTGGAACTAGCTCTTTAGACTAAGCTGGCCTCAAACTCAGAAATCCACCTGCCTCTGCCTTCTGAGTGCTGGGATTAAAGACATGCACCACCTCTGCCCAGTTGTTCAAGTGTTTTCATAATCCACTCTCCAAAGCAAGACCCCTATGTTATAGAGAGGTGTGGTCCAAGTTCTTAGCCTCTAACTCGGTGCTTGTCCATGCTAGGGACTAAACCCATCCAAAGGCTACCTAGCTGTTCCCTTCTGATTAACTTCACTATACAGACTGAGGTGGTTCCAATGGGGCTGTGTAAGTAACAAGTGATACTCTTACAACTGACAAAATTCCAAGACCTGTAAGAAAATCATTTGAAAGACTGGACAAAACCCCCAAACACATTTTCTATTTTTTGCTTCTGTTTTTTGAGATAGGATCCCTCTATACATCCTTAGCTGTCCTCCAACTCCAGACATCTGACTGCTTGTATCTCCCAAGTGCTGGGATTAAAATTATGTGCCAATGAGCTTGTCCTAAATATAAATTATTACTATACTGTCAGTACCATCAAAACTTTAATCAACTCTTGAGCATTACCTGTTCTTGTACATCTTCAAAGTCTGAGTTAAGCAGCTCTATAAAAATGGGGACAGCTCCTGCTTCAATGACAATTTTGGTCTGCTGAGAAGTTCCGGAGGCAATGTTTGTCAGAGCCCAAGCAGCTTCAAACTGAAAGTGAGATTAGGCCACAAATGAGAAGTCCTTTTAGGCACAGCAACCGGCCTGCCGTCTGCCTTAAACAGCAAAGCTCTAGCACATAAAAAACCAAAACCAAATTCATGTCTTCGCTTCAGTTTTTTCATCTCTGAAACAAGGGTAAGAGTAATAGTGTGGGGCCAGGCGGATCTCTGAGAGTTTGAGGTCAGTCTTGTCTACAAGGCTACACAGAGAAACTATGTCAGTGTGCTCTCTCCCCCTTCCCTTCTTCAAGGTCTTACTCTGTAGCCAAGGCTGGCCTAAGCTTTTGCTTCTGGGCTCTATGTGCTAGAAGTATAGGCATGATCCACTGTCCCTGGTTGAGATGGCTGTCAACCCACTGTCTGCTGTGTCTAAATTTCTGATGGACTTGCTCATTATCTGTTTCTAGAAAATAGAGACCCAGAGAGGCAGGATGATTGATCTGCATCAGGTCACCAAGTTAGAGGTATAATAGGCCCTCTGATTTATAATGACAATCAGTGTATCGCATTCTGGGATCTCTGAAATCAAAACTTTTCTTCATGAGCTTTCTTTCTTTCTCTTTCTTGAGAAATGGTCTTGCTATGTAGCCCAGGCTGGTATCAAACTTGTGGCAGTTCTCATGCCCCAGCCTGCTGTATGCTGAAAATATTTGTGTATGCTGCCACATCTGGCTTCAAATATTTTTTTTTTCATCATGTACAACATGTTTTATGTATATATACATTGTGGAAACTGAGCCAGGTTCACAAATTACCTCACATAATTATTGAGATCTTTTTTTGTTTTGTTTTGGTTTTATTTTGTTTTGGTTTTCGAGACAGGGTTTCTCTGTGTAGCTTTGGAGCCTATCCTGACAGTCGCTCTGGAGCCCAGCCTAGCCTCGAACTCACAGAGATCTGCCTGCCTCTGCCTCCCAAGTGCTGAGATTAAAGGTGTATGCTATCACTGTCCAGCAGGATATTTTTCTTAAAAAAAAATAAAAAAGACACTCAAAGTGCAGACTTGGCTGGCTTCAAACAGAGATTTGTCTTTCTTTGCTCGGTTGCAAAGGTTGTGCTACCACACCCAGCCCTGAAACAGATTTTAAGGAAGATACTTCAATTGATAGTTTCTCTATATTACTTTTCCATTCCCTTAAGATAGGCCTACAGGGGGCTGGAGAGATGGCTCAGAGATTAAGAGCACTGGTTGTTCTTCCAGAGGTCCTGAGTTCAATTCCCAGCAACTACATGGTGGCTCACAACCATCCGTAATGAGATCTGGTGCCTTCTTCTGGCCTGCAGGCATACATGCAGGCAGAACACTGTATACGTAATAAATAAATCTTTAAAAAAAAAAAAAAAAAAAAAGATATGCCTGCAGAAACCCACTGTGAGTTCTTGAGAACTTTGACCCACCGTCTCATGCCTGAGCGCTTTTACCTGTAATGTACAATTCTCACTCCTTTTCAGAAACTCCACAAACCGGTCAACTACTCCTGGAGTGTTAATAACTTCATCTATTGGAGGACTCGGCTCTAGAGGGAGATAGGAAAGACACCAAAAGTCAGGGAAGCTTTGCTGATCCATTCACAGTTTTGGATGCTTCTGACCACTCTTACAAACATTGCAAAACTGTCTTTGCTCATCTACAAACTGCATGTTACAAGTATAAAGGCAAACCTATTTTAGATATGCTCAGCTATGGCTTACTAAATGTGAACATAACAGAAAAGGAATGAAAAAAGTCCAAGGAACGCAACCCTATCCTACTTCACTGCTTTTTTCTTGGGAGGGATGTTTAATATGCTCAAGCAGCAAGAGATTCTTTTGCTATCATATACCTTGTTTTCAGGACGGAAAACCAATAGCAGAGCCTTGCACATCTGATACATCAAATTTTTATAGAGCAACTCGGTAAGACAGTTCTAGACACTAAGGATAGAGTATGAACCAAGCCAAAGTCCCTGCACTCACAGAACTTAGTGTGGCAGTGAAAGGTGGGCTGTTAGAAAGCAGTAGTAAGGATAGTCTTCTACTTTTATCAAGACATAGTTTCACTGTATAAACCCAAGCTAGCCTGGAACTCACAGAGATCCACCTGCCTCTGAATCCCCAGTGCTGACATTAAAGGTTATTTGCTATCAATACCTGGCTGTACCAGAACTGGGGAGGTTAAGGCAGGAGTATCTTGAATTCAAGAATAACAAGACTATCTTTTGAAAAAATGAAGGAAAAGAAAAGGAGGAAAGAAAAACGAAGAGTTTCATCTGTATACTCTTCTCTAACACATTTTAAGAGTCAGAAAACAGGACAACAGGCTTCATTAACAAGTTGTAACTGGCTGGACAGTGGTGACACTCGCCTTTAATTCCAGCACTAGGGAGACAGAGGCAGGTGGATCTTTGAGAGTTTAAGGCCAGCCTGGTCTACAGAGAGTTCCAAGACAGCCAGAGCTACACAGAGAAACGCACTCTGGAAAAACAAACACAATAGAAAAAGGTGTAACTGGGGGCTGGAGACACAGCTCAGCGTTAGAGTACTCACTGCTTTTGCAGAGTTCTGTCCTCAGCACCTATCCATGCATGCCAAGCGACTCAGAAGAGATTCTACCTCCAGCTCCAGAGGATCTGACATCCTCTTCTGGCCTCTGTGAGCACACATACTCATGTGGCATACACACATAATTAAAAACTCTTAGGGAAAAAAAGGATAGGTGAAAGAAATGCTGATAGAATTTTTGAGAAAAGAAGAATTAGCAGAGGGAATATCAAGTGTTAATGTGGGAATGTGCCTGACTTTTTCAAAGAAAACCTGGCCAGGAAGAAGGCTACAGTAGAATGAGCAATAGGTAGTAGTTAAGTAAAAAGAGTCAAGAGGCTAAGTCATACAGCACCTCTCTGAGAAGGACCCGGCTTTATACCTTTGGAGAGGAGTTTCCGGAATTTCTGTGTGGTTGCTAACTGTAAGTCAGAATCGTCAGAAAAGAGCATCTCCACCATCTCTCTTGTGATCACACTCTCCTAGAAAATAAAATAGGTTGATGACCTTGTGGATAATAATAAAGCCAAATGAAAGCATATCATTCTGCATGGCTTCCTGCTTTTTAAGAGCCTCAAGTAAGAGAATGGCATAGTAGATCCAAGTCTGCTTCAAGATACAATATTTGAAAGCGATTCCTAATCTGTGATGTAACCAATGATGTCCTTGAATGTTTTTTTCAAATTCTTTGCATCCTTGCTGAGTGGTTAAGCTGACTGACCACAAAAGGCAAGGAAGACCATAACATGATTACAAAGATACGAGATGGCATGGCTACCCAACTTCTGCTCTGAGAACAGCTGTGACCACGTCTTGAAGGACTTACCCCTGTTGTAGAGCTCACATAGGAGTCCATCAGCAGACTGTCGAACATGGCAGCCTCTTCATTAATCAGCTCCACATTTCTCCGTTTAAAAAGCTGAAAAGAAAAGTGAGGAGACAGAGCTAGCGCTACTCATAAACTGAAGAACAGCCTGAAGCTAGATTAGGATATAATGGTAAAGAAATACTAGGAGGAAAATGAGGCCAAACTTTAAGCAGATATAACACACATTCAACAGCTTTACGTTTTTTGTTTTCCAAGACAGGGTTTCTCTGTGAAATAGTCCTGGCTTTCCTGGAACTCACTCTGTAGACCAGGCTGGCCTCAAACTCACAGAGATCCACCTGTCTCTGCCTCCCAAGTGCTGGGATCAAAGGCATGTGACACTACCACCCAGTAACTGTTTTACTTTTTCTAAGTTTTTTTTTTTTTAAACTTTATGATCATTGGTGTTTTGTCTGCATGTATGTCTATATGAGGGTGTCAGAAGTCCTGGAACTGGAGTTGCCCAGTGCAAGTGGGTGTTGGGAGTTGAACCTAGGTCATATGGAAGAGCAGCCAGTGCTCTTAACAATGAGCCATCTCTCCAGCCCCTGGAAAAGCATGCTCAAGCATACACACACACACACACACACACACACACACACACACACACACACACACACACACTTTTCTTTGCAAGTAATGTAAATCATGAGGGAGGGGTATGAAAAGTTTTAAAAGAAAGAATGTTATAGAGTAACAACATGGGCAAAATCGGGTTACATGACTGCATCTAGAGCTGAGCAGGATACACCTGGTCCTGCAAGTGTGGGACTGCAATGGTGACATGTCAGTCTCTGCCCAAGGCAAATGTAACACAAAAAGTCCCAAGAGAGCAGAAGACTAGAGACACGGCATTGGGGAATATTCCTTTACACTGTTTGTGAAGCTGTGTCACTGTGATTGGTTCAATAAAGAGCTGAAGCCAGGCAGTGGTGACACATGCCTTTAATACCAGCACAATAGCTAAGCAGGAAGAGGTTAGGTGGTTCTTCTGGGGACAAAGAAGATGGGAAATGTAGGTCTCCAGCCAGATGCAGAGAAAGCAGAATGAACAGTCCAGAGAGATGAGGTAACGAGCCAAATGACAGAATGTAGAGTAAAATGATTTAAATTATAAGAGCTAGTGGAGAAATGGGTAAATCAGTTAAGTGTGGGCAAAGCAAACATGAGAACCTGAGTTCAGACCCCAGCACCCAATAGTTAGGTGTAGCAGTGCACACCTATAACCCAGCACTTAGGAGGCAGGATCTCTGGAGCTCACTGGCTAGTCAAGCCAATCAGTGGGTTCCATGTTCAGTGACGGATCTTGACTAAAAAAGTTAAGATGGACAGCAGCAACTGGGACTGAAACATCTATCTCTGGCCACGATATGCAAATGCAAATGCAGATGCAGATGCAGATGCACACGCACGCGCGCACACACACACACACACACACACACACACACACACACACACACACACACACACACACACTTTTACACACAATCATACCCACCTGACAAAACAAACTGAATAGATAGCCTGCTAATTAGATAAGCTACATTTCCCTAGGCCAGTGGTTCCCAATTGTGGGTCACAACCCCTTTGGGGGTTGAATGACCCTTCCACAGGGGCTGCCTATGACCACTGAAAACACAGACATGGGCTGGAGAGATGGCTCAGTGGTTAAGAGCGCTGGCTGCTCTTCCAAAGGACCCAGGTTCAATTCCCAGCACCCATATGGCAGCTCACAACTGTTCCAGGGGATCCGACACCCTCACACAAACATAAATGCAGGCAAAACACCAATACACATAAAATAAAAATAAAACAAACAAAAAAAAACCAGACATTTATTTACCTTATGATTCATAACAGTAGCAACATTAGTTACGAGGTAGCATCCAAAGTTTTATGGCTGGGGGTCATCACATGAGGAACTTATTAAAGGGTTATTAATTAGGAAGGTTGAGAATCACTGTATGAGGCAGAAAGATGAAGGCCAACTACAGAACCTGGCTAGTTTCCCTGATAGGTATGTTTGAGAACACTCCAGTTAACTTACTTGTTGTTCCCGCTTCTGTTTCCGAAGCTGAATGCCCTCTTCCTCCCTCCTTCGTCTCATTTCCTCAGGGTTTAAGGCATTGTTCTTATAGCTCTTCATTCGGTAATTGTCTTTCCCTGGGCTTGCCATGGTCTCTAGAAGGAAGATATTTTTGTAGTTGTGAGACAATAGCATTTCCTTTTCATACATGAACAAACTATCAGTAAAGAGAATATAAGAAGATGGCAAGCAAGTCTGGACCTGAAAAGATGAAATGAAGAGGCAGAGTGTGTCTGGTTATTCTTGAAAATAACTTAGGGAACCTCCAGAAACTAGGAATGCTTCAGAAATCTACTTGGCAAATTCCACACAGATTTATTATCTTAAGGGGGCGTGGGGGGCGCACGCACAGGGTGAAGCAGCCCTGGAGAGATGGCTCAATGGTTACAACCATCTGTAGCTCCAGGTCCTGGGGATTCAGTGTTATCTGTATGTACCAGGCACACATATAGGCAAAACACTCATACACATAAAATAAAACTAATAAATCATAAAAAAAACAAGAAAAAACCCCCCAAACGAGGAATTAGGGGAGACAATTCAGTGGTTAAGAGTATGTGCTGCTCTTGTGGTAGAGCCAGATTCAGATTCAGTTCCTAGCACCCCCACAGTGGCTAATAACTATCTGAAACTCCGGTTACAGGGGATCTGACACCTCTTCTGACCTCTCCAGGCCCCTGCACACATGTGGGGCATCAGGTATAAAGACATTAAAAATAAAAAAATAAACAAGTAGCAAGCCATCAAGATGGCTCAGGAGGTAATGCTTGTTATTTGCCATGAAGCCTGATGACCTAAGTTCCATCATCAGGATCCACACACTTGAAGGAGGGAATCAACACCTGTCTTCTGACCTCCACACACACACACACTATGCCATATGTACCTCCCCCTACCCCCAACATATGAAAGTTACAAGGACCTTCAGTGGCTGCTCCTGGATCCCTGAACAGGTAGAGGCAAGACTACTAAAGGCAAGCCCCTGTGGAATGCTGTCCTCTATTACCTGACACATAGTGTTTCATGATTGAGCCTGTGCTGTCCCAGAGGCTGTCCTCTCCTTTGAGCACAGTTGACAGTTAAACTGAAATAGGAACCACATTGCTTCTTTAGTTACCATGGTGATAAGTAACTATCACAAATATCTACTTATGACTTCACTGGAGAAGCAGGCAAGAAAGAATAGAAGGATGAACATCCACAGAGACACATGAGGAAACTTCTGCTACAAAGATGTTTTTACCTCAAAGAGGATACTTTATTTGTCCCCTCTTACTTAAGAGTTCCACTTTACCAGTCATACCAGATTTTTAGAAACCCATGTTCACATTACAAAATTTTCTTTTACAGTGATTTCTCTCTCTAGACCAAGAGTCCAAGCAACAGCAAATCTAAAGATAATATGTGAGCCAACACCTGTAACACCAGAATAATCAAATAAAAAAAATCCTTGAAGAACAAAATTAGCCGTAATACTAGGACTTGAAGCTGGGCGGTGGTGATGCATGACTCTTTAATCCCAGCACTTGGGAGGCAGAGGCAGGTGGATCTCTGAGTTCAAGACCAGCCTGATCTACAAAGTGAGTTCCAGGACAGCCAGGGCTACAGAAAAACCCTGTCTCAAAAAAACAAACAAAGGACTTGAAGGGTAGGATGATACCATAGCTTAAATTGTGTCTTCTGCCAGTGGTGGCACACACCTTTAATCCCAGTGCTCCGGAGGCAGAGGCAGGTGGATCTCTGTGAGTTGAAGGCCAACCTGGTCTACAAAGTGAGGCCCAGGGCTGTTACATGGAGAAGCCCTGTCTTGAAAAACCAAAGATTTGTGTCTTCTGTCTGGTGAGTGAGTGTGCATGCTTTTAATCCCAGCACTCAGAAAGCAGGAGGATCTCTGTGATACTCCAGGCAAACCAGGGATACACAGTTAGATGATGTCTCAAAAACAAACAAAAACCTAATTTGTGGGTGTAGGAGTACAACCTGTAATCACATAGGTGTTAAAGCAGGAGAATGTAAACTTAAGTCTAGTTTGTTCTACATAGCTCCAGATCAGCCAGGGCCATATAGCAAGAGACCTTTGAGGAGGAGAAGAGGGTGGAGGAGGAGGAGAGGAGGGGCTGTTAGAGTTCAATATTTCAAATAACTTAATAATGCATTAAAGACTTAGGAAAACAACACACTCCATTTCAAATTAATGGACGTGTAGGAATAGAGATTACATCAAAGATCAAAGAAAATAATACAGTGTTGAAAAAATAAGCTAGGTGTTATGGTACACGCCTTTAATCCCAGGACTCAGGAGGCAGAGACAGGCGATCTACTGAGTTAGTTCCAGGATAGCTTCCAAAGCTACAGAGAAACCCCATCTTGAAAAACAAAACAAAAACAAAAAGGAAGAAAATCCTTCCAAACTCATTCTATAAAGTTATTCTGACACCAAAACGAAACCTACAGACCGAGCCAGGCATGATGGCTCACTTCTATAATCCCAGCAATTAGAAAGGGAAGCAGGAGAATCAATGATTCAAGGCCACCCTCTGCTACAAAGTGATTGAAGGCCATCTTTTCTAAAGGATATTCAGAAAACAAACAAAAAACTAACCAAACACCAATATGTATAATGAACACAGATGTAAAAATTCCCAAGAAAATTCCATCAAGTCAAAGCCAGCAACCCTGAAGAAATATACACCACAATCAAATTCTACCTCAAAGATGCAAGGGTGGTGTTGCATGATAAATGACCCAGAGATAGACACTGGGGTTCAAGCTTCAAGCTGAAGATCAGAAAAGCAAAGCAGAGGGGCACTAGCTCTCACTCTGCCTCAGACTGCTTGCTGCCTCTGCCTCAGACTACTGCCTTTCCCCAACGTGGCTGGAGAATGAATCCTTGATACTGACTACTAAAGACCCTGCTCCTATCTTTTATAACCCTCTAGTGCTGTGATTAAAGCCATGTGATCCCATGTGCTGAGATCACCTTTGTGTGAGCTGTTTCTCTTTAGGACTGGATTAATATTGTGTAGATCTGGGTGGCCTGGGATGCACAGATCCATTTACCTGTTAATCCTGAGTCCCAAGATAAAACGTATATACCGCTACTTCCTAGTTTTTGGCTGTTGGGATTAAAGGTGCATATCCTCACTGCCTGATCTCTATAACTGGAGGCTGACTTTACTTTCTAAATCCCCAGACAAGCTTTAATAAATCATAAATAATATATCACCACAGGATGGTTCAACTTATGCAAACCTATAAGTGATACCATACTAACAGAATAAAGAACAAACACCTATACATTATACATCACTTCAAGGTAAAAATTCAACAAAGTAGATATAGAGAATGTGATGATGTGATGGTTAATCTCAAAGTCAACTTGACTGCATCTGGAATCAACTAAGAGATAGATATCGCCTCTGAGCCCATTTCCAGAGATGATGAACTGAGGGAGGTAGCAGCTTCCAAAAGATGGCTCAGATGAAAAAAGTGTTGCTTGCCTGCTGCATTCATCCATTGCTTTGAACACACTTATCCCTGTTGGTACTGTTGCTGTTATCCTTCACTGACATCAGATGACTTCAGTTTCTTTAACCTTCTAATGTGGACTCAAACCAGTGACTCCGTCCCTAGGTATTCCGGGCCTTCACTGCAAGCCTTTAGCACTAGGCTGGGCCAGCCAAGGCATCTATCTTTGTTTTTTTCCCCTTTAAGAACTTTTCTTTTAATTAAAAAAAAAATGAAATTATGTGGATATGTATGTGTCTGAATATGGGTATCTGGACATGAATGCTGTGCCCCAAAGGCCAGAAGAGGGTGTTAAATTCCTCGGTACTAGAATTATAGGTGGTTGGGAGCTGCCTGATGTGGATGCTGGGAACCCAGTTCTCAAGGAGTAGGTACTCTTAACTGCTGAATCATCTCACTAGCCCCACTGGCATCCAGCTTTGTGTGCAGCTACTGGGTTTTCAGCCTTTCCGCTGTGCAGATATCAACTGGTGGGCTACCTAGCGCCTACTGTGTAAAGCGCTGTGGATGTGAGATTGAAAATCCTATCCTGCTGGGAAGCTCTTTAAACTGGAAGGTAAAGGACAATGCAAACCAGCTTCAGGAAATCCAGAAACTGATGGGATTTACTAGGTTCCTGCACTATAAAAGCTGAGAGTCCTCTGAGACTAGGGAAACAGCTTCAAAGAAGACTAAGCTGCCTGGAAGAAACAGACACCAGCTGAACTGCCCAGAAGAAGTTTAGATCAGAATCACCAGCTAGTTGAGCTGCTTGCAGGCTGTGCAGTGTGTTCCAGGTTCCCAGCTTTGTGAGCTGTCACCTATGTTTGGGTGGGTTTTAGTGATGCAGCTGTCTCTGAGTCATTTCTGCTCCTGTGAGTTAACTCTTCACCCACACTCATGTAAGTAACCTTAAAACTCACTGGCTAACCAAGTTGGACTTTGGTGGTATCCGTACTTTGGCTTGTAGATGTGTGTTTTTCATCTCCCCAGGAAAAGTTTTATCACACAAAAGAAATCTCACTGAGCTTCCTGGTATATGCACTTTCTACTGACCGTTCCTCTAGAGAACCCTGACAAATACAGAGGGGAGAGACATAGTAAAAGCAGTGCACAACAAAACCACAGCTAATATCCTATGGAATGGGGAAAAGCTGAAAGCGTTCCCTGTAAATCTAGAATGAGACAAGAACGTTCACTTTCACCACTTACACCAGCAAGAGCAATTAGGCAAAAGGAAGGAACAAAAGCCATCTAAGACTAGTAAGATGGCTCAGCTGGGTAGAGGTGTTCATAGTGAAAGGAGAGAACTGACTTGCACAGGTTGTCCTCTGACTCCCACATATGTTCCAAAGCCCACACTCATGTGGCCCCCGCACACAAAAATGAATGTACTAAAAAATCTTTGAAAAGGTCATCCAAATTGGAAAGGGGTTATCCCTTTGTAGATGGCATGACTGATGTAAAAGATAGGAAACATAGATTCCACCAAAAAATGGTTAGAATGGTAACACATATTCAGTAAAGTTGCAAGATGCCCTTGCTGTCCTGGAATTCACTCTGTAGGCCAAGCTGGTCTTTTTTTTTT